ATTTCGAAAAAAAAAAGGATTTTCCTTCGAGTAATCATTGATATCAATCAATCTGGGGTTCTCGTCGAATGGTACCAGTGGGAAAATTCTTGATAAATTTTATGGAAGAAATGACTTGAATTATTTAAAGATAAAATCCTGACTTAATGAGCTTAATTGTTCGATTAGTTGAATTAGACTCGATGAATCAGAGAAAATTGGCGGATAAAAATGGAAAAAAGGGGAAAATTGATGAAATTCATGTTAGGATTCAGCGATCCTCCACTGATTGACAATTCTGCATGTAAACGTTTATAAATGTGCGTGAATAATTCCTATTTTAAATTCAATGGCATTGAGTTGAAATGTGAGAGGGCGAGAGTTGGCGGAAAATGTCAAATGGGAGAAGTGAAAATATTGAGTTATAAAAATGAAGGGAGTGAGAAGGGCGTGCCATGGAGGATTTCAGGCTTTGGGTTTGCAGGTCCAATGTCGAGACTACCTATTGGGAGAACTTATAACGAGATGTTCCTCCAATCAATTGCCAGGCCGACTGTTTGGAGATGCCGTGCGTGCGGCAAACATGTGACAAACCGTTGGCACCACTTCCAGGTTCACACAGGTCAACGATTTCCGTGCCCTTATTGCACAGCGAACTACAGCAGAATCGACACTGTTCGTGGACATGTACGCACCAAACACCGGGATATGCTCCCCAAGGGTACATTGTAGAAAATCACTATACTCGGGAACAGACGACGCAGACGACACGTCATTCGGCCGACTAGCTTGCAATAAATATCATTTGGCTTATCTCTTTGGGATTCCCTCGAAATTTTCTTTTCTTTCTTTACACATTTAATCGAAAAAATTGCGCGAATAATTGGTCAAATATCGGGAATCGATACCAAATTTTATTATTGATATAATATATTCTATAAATTAGGATAAAGTGGAGATGGTGGGGATTTAGGAAAATTTTATAATTTCTAATTGACACGATAAATTGAGTAAATTGGGGTCGAGTGGCGTGGCTCATTGAATGAATTTTTCAAAAATAAAAATTCAAACGTGACAATGAAAAAATCGGTGAAATAACGAAGCAATCAGTCGATTAATTAATATCAGAAAGTTTGCCTGTCTCGTCGAATTGTTCCCGAGTGCCCGCAGGCAAATCGCCAGGGGTTGGGTAAAAGGTGATCAATAGCATGCAATCGTGAAATTTACAATGCCAGGGTATTTGAACAAAAAAAAAAATAAATATAAATAAATATTAACGATGGAATGGCGAATGACGAATTTATCATTTAGTTGACAAAAAGAAATAATAATAAATCTAAAATTCCAAGTGTCGCCCTCATTGTCCCTCGAATGCGTCCACAATCTCCATGATGACAGAATTCACCCTCAGGGTTGACATCGACCATCAGAATCCGCGAATTCGCAAATACTGAATTTTACTGAATTTACACGTTCGGTGACAACCGGGAGAAAATTAATGAAAATAATAAGAATCACGTGGGGCTCAACAAACATGTGATGTTATCGTCAATACGAGCTAAATGCCAATGCACACTGTAAATAATACCAAAATAAAAACGACTGTTTTCCAAAAGAAATCAAAGTATTGCCGAAGGCTCCCATGTCTGTCCACTGATAACTCCACACTTGAATAACTACAATAAACTGAATTTCTTCCAATCAGCTGTACAGACACAATCCCATAACGACCTAGATAATCGATAATTAAATTACAGGCCATTGTTCATATCAGAATTAAATATTTTTCACTCGTATCACCTAATGAACGATCGTTATCATTGGTCAGATTGGACCCCGCGCCCTAGCGAAGTTGCGAATCAAAGTATTTGCTCTTTGGACCAAAAATATTATTTGTGTGATTATAAATAAATAATTGATCGAGAAGTGATGAATATTAAAGCCAAAATCCAGTGCTCGAGTCATAAAACAAAGATTAAATTCACTTTGTTTTATCATAAATATCTCGAAAACGAATGGTTTCAGATTAATGTCAGAGAAATTTTTCAGGAGAATGGATTTTCTCGTTTAAACAAATTTATATAACACTTTCGTCTAAATCCCCTTGTTATCGAGATATCTCAGAATTTATAAAAAGTCAACGTTGATTGTTTGATCTCGTTACGTTTTACCACTCGACTACTGAATATTTAATGATTAAAATGTCTCGGTACTTCGCGAAGGCATCGAAACTCTCATAATTATAAATAAATTATAATAAACAAAGTGCAGTCCTCCGGGACTGTAAAATCCAAGTGGAGAATGAAAAAACCTTAACGAAAAATGAAAACTATATTAATAACGATAAGAGAAAAGATTAATCATAAAGAAATATTACTATAATAAATAGTGATAATAGTTATAAAAAAAGCCGCGGTAATTCTGCGAATATTTCAGAGAAAAATAACGATCAATAAACTTATATGTGTCCCATTGACCCCTCGAAACCCATTTTTGTCTCGTAAAAACTCGATGGTCTCTCGTATGCTCGTCTAATTGTAAACGAGAATGAAACAAGAAAAATAATAATTAAAAGAAGCATAAACAGAATACACCGACACAGCAGTACATGAACATGCAATGAAAACACTCAATTACACGTATGAAAAGAATTAACAGAAAAACCTAGCGCCTTCGCTTACTAATTTTATTGAATGTCGATTGAAGCGAATGATTGTGAGAATTCCCGGGAATTTCATTATAATTCAGTACTTATATTTTTTTCAGCAACTTTTATTGGGGATTATGCAAATTTATTGTCATTTTCCTACGAGATTTTTTACAGAGAAAATTCAATGGGTTTTTATTTTTAAAAGAACTCTCTTATTGTTGTAAATTGGAAAAGTTTCAATTGAAATTCAATGGGATTTTTTGGGGAAAGGACTAGGTTTTTGGGTGAAATTAAGTACTTAATTACCAAATTAATTTTTTTATCCGTGTGACCCAATGAGCGACGTGAAATCACATAATATGATAAACACGAATGAAAAAATTCAGAAAATCAGCGTTCCTGCAAATTAGCATATCACTGCTCGTCGAAAGTCCAAGTTGTAACATCGAAATGATAATAATCGATAACCGAATTGTTAGATTAAATATTTGAAGGGAGGAAGTGATCGATGAATTGAGATGAGCGGTTAAGCGTGGATAAATAAAAATCTTTGATTACAGAAAAATTCAGCAGTGATGAGGTAAAGTTGGGGAGGACCTTAAAAAATTTTTGATATCTCATGATCTAACGGAGCCAATGAAGATGAAATAAAAATCTCCTAAACTTCTCTGCGGATCTTGAGTTATTGATAGAAAAAAAGTTCACTCCGATTTTTTAAGAAATGAATTTCTCGTTGAAATCAGTGAATCGAGAATTTCATAGACATGTCACCTGCTGAATTGATTTAATATTAAATAGCATCCCTCGGCCGATACCATTGATTGAAGTTGTAATTACCCGAGAAATAGTCATTAATTCATTATGAAAAATGACAGAGACTGATGCGGAACAAATTAATCGTGAAAGTATGAGATTTTTCATAAATAAAAGAGCAATTTTGCAAATTGATTAAATTAAGGGGCAATGGTTGAGGTCGATGGTACGCATCAGTCCCTTATACAATTGATGTAATAATCACGAAAAACTTTAAAAGAAAAACCAAAAAATAATATATAACTATCAATATCAAAATGCCAATCTCATGTCTCTTGATGGTACTTAAGGTCGAATGCTAACTTAACTCTATTTAATAAAACAGAGTGAAGAAGATATTCTCAATCGAAGAATAATTTTTCTCATTCAAGAAATCATTCGGAAGGACCATCGAAAACAATTAATCAATTAAAAATACGAATATTCCCCGAATCACTCTCGAATGAAGAACAATATTTCCTACTCGAGGAATTGTTTTCCCTCTGTTATAAATAAAAAAAACAACTGCAAAACCCAACCTAGTTGAATGAATTTAAACCGAGAAATTGACCGCACGGAGATTTACTTAAAAATTATCAAGACACTTATTTATATGCGATGTATTTTTGTGAACAAAAAAAAAATTAATAATAATTCAACAGTATTTGAAAGTGCTACCGCTGTTGTACAGTTAAGAGAAACAATTGATAGATGTACTTTATGGATTGTATTTATAATGTATATAGATATATTTCATTAAAGTAAATTATGGATTTGTGTACGACTCAGCACAATCAAAGACCCAATCAACTCATCCTTCAGTGGGAGAAAAATTTGTATTCAAATTTCAACTGCAGTTTCAGTAAAAAAATGCAAGGAATTTCGTTTAATTATTTTAATTGCAAATTTCCCACAGATCTCGCAACAAAAAAATCATTATTTCCCTGTGACAATTTTTTCAACGAAATTTCCCGCAAATTTTTCTCCTTTCAAGAATTCATTTTAGGAAATAACCCTCGAAGACGACTAATGGGATTGTTTTCAACAATGACGGACTTAAAATATTGTG